GTAGTTTTACTTTATAGGAATGAGGTGGGCAATGATTCACGATTTCTCCTGGACCAGTCCATCGTGCATAGAGTTTGTTATTTGAATCTGGTATGAGTAAATAAACTTGTTCTCCGATTTTGAAATTTTTTGGTATTGATCTCCGATTAAAGTACTCAGCATATTTTTGTTGTTTATCACTTGCAATTAAATTGGCTTGTTCGGCTGCTTGTTCTAACCTTATTTTTAAAAGTTGTAAGTAATCCACTGCCGATTCACTTAGATTAGGTGGTATAGGTATTTCTCCTGACCATGAAGACTTCAGTACTGCTAAAGGACCTCTTGGTTGTCTTCCATACATCAGCTGAAATGGTGAGACACCCGTGGTGCAGTTTGGTACTTCTCTGTATGCAAAGAGCAGGTATGGGATGTGCTTATCCCAATTCGAAGGATCAGTCCTGATGACATGATGTAACATTTGCTTGAAGGACTTGTTCCATCTTTCTACTAATCCATTTGAAGCACTGTAAGCAGGTGTAGAGAACCTAGGGTGAGAACCTAGTCTTTTCTGGAATTCTTTAGTTAATTTTGAAAACGAAGTTACTTCCGTTGTCACTAGCTATTGTATTAGGGATTCCTGTTCTCATGAAAATCTCCAAAAGCGCGTCGCAAGTGGCTTTTGCTGTCAAGCTTCTCAGTGGAATGGCTTCTGGCCATCGGGAATGTTGATCTACCAGACATAACACATATTTATGTTTCCTAGCAGAGGAAGGTTCAATAGGTCCAATAATGTCGATGTTAACTGTTTCGAAAGGTAATCCTGGCCTTCTGACCGGTGTGATGGGAATCTTGTCAGATCGCTTTTCTGGACTTTTCAACTGACAATCTTTGCACGTTTTACAAAAGGTTTCAACATCTTGTGCTAATCCAGGCCAATAAAATGAATATCGTATTCGCTCCTTTGTTTTTCTTATCCCAAGATGTGCACCGAAAATGGAACTATGTGCTAATTCCAACACTTGTGCTCTTCTACTAAGTGGAAGCACTAACTGAAAAAACATTCTGTCCTAATATTTTTTCTTGGTGATGTAAAAGATGATCAATAAATAATTTCCTTTTTTTTTCTATTGCTAGCTTCCATGCTTCTCTCAGCGCGAGGGACAGTTAACTTGCTCTTCGCGTAGGCGTTCAGCAGACGATAAGTCTGTGTTTACATAAACACTCGCCTTCTTTGACTTCCTCCTCTTCGTTTTTCTCCTCCATAAGCATTAGCGGGGGGGGAATCGACGCTGTCGTTTGACTGTGCATTGGCGAATAAAGTTTGTAAGTTTTCGCTTCCGTAATTATTTCTTTCTGCGTTTGGTTCTTCTGCCGCAGGATTAATCAACAGTTCGTATATTTCTGGAGTTATTAGGCAAGGCAAGGCACATTTAGCTTATCAGTCACTGCAATTAATGTATCCACAAAATTAAATATATTGCTTCCATGATCTTTATGGTAAAATAGGTACACGGCACACTTTTGCTTCAATTAGTTGTCCGAAAGCAAGTATTAGCAATATTTGATCTCCTTCTCTCTGCTCTAAATCTGGAATGAGCGATGAATGTACGATCGTTATCTGCGTTCCAGAGTGTGCGATAGCTTCGATTTTTCTCAGAGTTAATAAAAACATCTACTTTTGGCAGTGGTTGAACGATGCGTTCTGCGAATTCAGATCGTAGATGGGATGAGTCTACTTTAGCTACGATGGCTTCTTCTTTTGATGTTCTGTTTGAATTTTTTTGAGTTTTGGAATCATCCTTTCCCTTCTTATTTACTGCAGTTTCGTTCTTTCTTCTTTTGTCTGGACAATCTCTCGCGATGTGTTGATAATTTCCACAAATATAACATTCTTTTCTTCTCGCGTGAAATCTTTCGTGTTTTGGATATTCTTTTCTCATGGGTGGTGGAATATATTTGTCGTGTGCACATGTTGTATCCAGGAATCTCGGTGATCGCTTAATTAATTCCATTTCGAACTTCGTCGAAAGATTTTCCTTTGGCCGTGAAATAAATAAATATCACATTCTGTAGCTAATTCTTGAGGCTTCAGCCATTTATTTCCTTGGCGTATTGCGACGTGTGCAGCTGTTTCTTCATCTAATGCTTGGAATAATTTATCGGAAATAATTAACTCCTTGAGTGTTTCGAAATCCTTTACTTCTCTTGACTTGCAGTAATAGTCCCATGTAGCTGTTAGTCTTGAAGCGAAGCGAACTGGATATGCGTTTCGCCGGAACGGAATAACGTTTAGTTTTTCTGAAGTTTTCTAAACAGGTTTGAGGAGTAGGTTGATATTCCTTCAGAACAAGAGTTTTCACTTTTTCGTAATTTTGCAGATCTTCCTCCTTTATATAAACAAGAACATTTGAAGCTTTTTCTCCAATTAATTTCAATAATATTTCTGATTTGTATTCTTCAGGAACCTTCTTGTGCTTAAATGCTCTTTCGATAGAATCGAAAAATATATTCCATTCTTCTGCTCTCTTCGGTACTGGTATAGTCAGTGTTTCTACTCCTTTGATCAGCTTGTCCAGGGAAATTTCGGTTTCTCGTTCTGTGTTTTGGTATTAAAGGTGTTGGACTTCTACTTCCTTCATTTTGAGTTGCTCGAATCTTCGCTAGTTCTATTTCGTGTTCTCTTTCTGTTCTTATTCTTTCTTCTTCCATTTGCATTCTTTCCATTTCTTCTTTTCTTTTTCTGTTCTCCACTGTAGTAATCAGAATTTCTTTCACGAAATCAGCATCTTCGATGTATTCCTTGCTATTCTGGAGTTTGTGTTTCAGTTCTACCAGCTTAAAATCTGGGGATGCTTCTTCGCCAATTTCCAATAGAACTGTTACTAAATCCTCTTTCTTTGCGTTTTTGAACATTTTCTTCTATTTTCCTTTAGAATCAAGCCTTTCAAACTCTCGATTAAATAATTCTCACGTTTTTACTCTCTTTTGCAAATGAACACTTCTTTCGTTAGTTAGGCTTAACTTTACGCCTCTTCCGTTTTCAACGCTCTAAGCTTCTAACCTCTCTGGTTTTCTCGAAAGAGAGCGTGTGTTGTGATGACTTCATGGTTTAATAAGGCACCATTTAGCAAGACGAAACAAACATTTATTAAATATATAATTCAAAGCATAATATAATAGTTACTCAGAGCAGTACGTCGCTCCTACCGCATAGTACAATCTACTACCTTCCTCTTCCGAGGCTAACATGCAACTCCTAATAAATACATTAACCCTTCTCGAAGAAGAGCTACCTGCGCCAAGCATGCTCTGTTGGTCGCCAAACAGTCGCCAGATATCACAATTTCATAGATAATTAGCATTGCTGAAGTTTGCAGAATTCCAAGTCTGCAAATCTGTAATTTTTTTTTTTTTTTTTTTTTTTTTTTTAAGTGAAAATTGATTGCTGTGTGCCTAGGGAGAACATTGCAAAAAAAAAAAAAAAAAAAAAAAAAAAAAAAAACACACAAAGATTTTTCACATTGTAAGAATTTTTTTATTTTTTTTTATTTTTAATGTATTGCATAAACCTTATTTAATAATTAAAACTTGTATTTTAAATTGCCGATGTGTGTTTTCTTTCCATATGTTGATAATGTCAGATGATTTAAAATAAACATCAATGGTTTGGGAATCTCTAAAAAAAAAACATGAAAACCACAAACTTGCACTAGGTAAGTAAGTTTTAATAAATAAGGAAAATAACCTTGTTTTTCATGTAGATTTAGACAAAAAACTCAATTGATTTCAAGGGCAAACAAGTCTCTCTTCATCAGGAGCAAAGAAATTTGCAGTGATCATAATGGCCCTATTTAAACCCTACTGCAGTAAAGTGAATGAAAAGGTAGTGCCATCTGTTGGCAAAATTAGTAATGAAAATTTAAAAATTAAGTTAGTAGAATTTTAAAAGCATCAGGAATGACTGGATTGAATTTAACGTTATTAACTAAACAAGGTAAATCTTTGTGAATGTGAATAGCTTCATCCAACAGAAGAAGCCTTTTGAATAATTTTTGAAGTCAAAATTATGATTAAATTTCCAACTATGATTAGCTATCGAAGACTTGTTAATTTTCCCTTTTGGGACATAACATTCATGTCTCTTGATATGAAACTTGAATACTCTTTTCGTTTGCCTGATGTATCTCAAACCACACTAACATGATATGCTATAAATTCCCCAAGAAGTAAAGTCGGAAATGATAATCTCTAAGAAATGAAGCTTGCATTTTACTGACTTGAAAATTGAACTTCTGGAGAATTTGTGCTATTTTAGAACTAACAGAAGGATGAAATGGAAGCACAACAAGGTTATTAATGTTATTTCTAATGGTGGAACATCTTTTTTGATGGCATATTGAAAATTTTTTAAAAGCGTTATCAATGACTATGGGACAAAATCCTTGGTCAGTGGCAAATGATCTCGAATAATTGCATTGGTTCTAAGGAACAAATTTCGAGAGCGTGAAAATACATAATTGTAAAAAGAAGCCTTTTTTGCATCAGGACCATCTTTTCCTATTTATTAGCTGGCAAGTCAAAATATTTTTTAATCAGCTACCAATTATTAATAAACCAAGTATTTAATTACAATAGTGCCAAAAATAATGCTTTCAATGACAGTCAATTGCTGCTTAAAATGTTTTAAAGAAGTAGAAGGTTTTCAAACACATACAACATAAAACATAAAATGGAAAGGGGGTTAGAAATAAAATTTATTCATCCAAAACTCAAATGAATTTTGCTTAATGAGATACAGCTTGATAATTAATTTAAACATTCTCTTTTTGTCCTAGAAGCCATCCATGAAATTAAAGTATTTTAAATTTTTTACATTTTTAAACATCTTTTCATAATAAATAAATAATAACATTCTTTGGAGAATACATATCAAAGTATCAGTATACTACATGGTACGTACTCAGTAACTTAACAGCAAATGCAATAATGTTTGTTTATATGCACAAAAGAAAAAATCTTTGCCTACATTACTCTGTTAACTAAACAATCTGAGATGTCTTAAAGAATAAGAGAAAATGCATACCTTCCAAAGTATTTTGCAATTCCAACACTTGAGAAATTAATCTAGTTTTTTCTTCCATTTCATCAGGGCTCAAATCCGGATCTAGCACTAATAAATATATAAATATTAGCCAATAAAAAAGAAATACTTCAGAATGACTTCTGGCACATCTGGCACTCAAAAATAATAAATATACCATATTTACTCGTGTACTTCCCCCTTAGGTATTAAAGCCACTAGGTTCTGAAATTTTTTTAAGCATTCATGCTAGCTTCCCCTCCCTCAAGAAGTTCAGAAAATGGGTTTGCCTAAATTAAAAAAAAAATTAATTCATTCACATAGTTATTCACACTTTCATTTCATTAATATAGTTGCTTGTGGAATTTGGATGCACACACTGTGAGTGATGAAGCAGTAATAGTGAATATCTTCAAGAAAATGAAGCTATCTGATGCTTTAGATCAAGGGTTCTCAACTGGTGATATGCAAAGAAGCAAAGTATTTTTAACTAATAATTCAAAAATTAAAACCCCAACATCCTGATTGAGTTTTTTCTCTAACACTCATAAATTTATCCGATCTGAGCTTCGTTCAAGAGGACTGGTGGTAGTAGGACTTTGTAGTGGTGATACTAAAGGATATCAATTTTTGTTTAGGTGGTATTTATTAGTCAAAAGGTTGAGAACTGCTGCTTTAGATGGTTCTAAGGGTCATTGCTTTTGGAAAAACAGAGTGAATGATAATAAAGACAATGACAACTTGCAAGCATAGCAGATGATACACACAGCAGTATTAAATTCGCAACTGATACCTGAGCAAGAGATATTCAAGACAGTACAAATAAAAATATTTGTAATGTTAATACTACTATGTATTCTTATTGGAATACAGGTTTCTTTTAAACAATATCGGAATAGTTTCCGCCACTTTATTCAGGAGTACTTTTCATTTATTTTGTTCTTACTGTCACATCTTTTGGAAATTAAATTACTCACATAATTTTCCCCTCTAAATTTTTGTACAATACAATTAGTAAAAAAGGGGAGAAAATATGTAAATGCAGCATGCATTTAAAGAGTGTATTTGTTTCATTTTGTCCATCTATTAAACTTCCAGATAGTTAAAACTAGTATGCATTATTTTTCAATTCTGTAATGTAATTTATAACAAACCCAAGATATTTTTTTCCGATTATGATATATTTAATTTCCTGAATAATAACATTACAGAAACAGTACTTGTACTATAAATATTACATCTCTTAGAATCTTAACATTGCATTTCTTAACAAGCAATTAAATGTAAAAATGCACAATTAATTTTGCTACTCAAAAATACTCCATTTTATTTAGAACAACAGTCATAACTATATTAACTAAAACAGAAGATTTACATTTTCCCTGACGGTTATATAAGAACCTTATAATACAATTATGATTTATTAACTCCAAAAGAACTACATTCTTATTCCTGTACTGATCTCAAAACATGTACTTTGTTTTCAGCAGCTTAATAAAGCTGTTTTAATTTATATGATGATTAAACGGTACAATTCGGTTTCGGGGATCGTAAAAAATTGCAGCAAAAATGCATGCGCAAAAGCGCCAAATCTAGCAAACTCGCTCATTAAACAGCACGCCACGCCAAATCTCGCGAACGTGCTGATTTCAAATTTCGTAAGTTTTAGATAGTTCTATATTTGCAAGTCGCCATTGAAATACTAGTTTAATTTTTTTATTCTCTTTATGATAAAGCTATGGATTTTACAATTTGGGAATTGCCGAGTAAAGAAAAGTCTACAATAGAATTTTTTCAAAGAAAAAAAAAAAAGGCATCATTCATGATAGAAAATTATGCTTGAACAATTATGAGATGAAAATTATTGCTTTTATCGATAACACGGTAGCAAAATGGCGGTGCAGGAAAGAAACCGGTAATGAGTATGTTTCCATTCAGTTATTTTAGCCTTTCTTATATAAATAATAATAATAATAAATTGTATGATGTGAAATTAACCTTTTTATCTAAATTAAAATAATAATCTGAAATAGTTATTTACTCTTATGCTTCCATTCAGTCATGTTTAGCCTTTTTTATATAAATTATAATAATAAAAAAGTACTATATGAAAGTAACTTTTCATCTAAATTAAAACATCAATCTTAAATAGTTATTCGCTACTACACTTCCTTTCTTGCGTTAGGGTTGCCGCAATTATTTTTGGCAGCATTGACATCGACAATAGTTTGGCGATTTTTTACGGCCCTCGAAACCGAATAGTACCGATTAAACTAATGTCATGAAGTAAATAGAGAACTTTCCAAAAAATTCAACAATAATAATTAAGTCATTTCCTACTTTTAAAAAAGTTATAACATACAAGGGTTAATCTTTGAATTATGGTAACTTGGCGATTTTTTGGCGACCAACCCTGCTACAGCAACCTGCTAGTTTTTGTTTGGACGCCATTTTGTTTTCATGAAGTAAATGCTTTTTTTTTTTTTTTTTACTTAACATTTTTTTCCAACAATCTGCTAGCTGAATTACGCTTATGCTAGAAAGTTTACGGAACAAAAGTGCTTAATCATGATGAAGATTAGGTGTAAAACTGGGAGAAAGTGCAGAATCACCCACTGCTTGCCGCGTTTTTAAGAATTGCACATACACGGTATCATCCATGTACACGTCGACCTATTTTCACTTAAAAAAAATCCCAGAATTGCACAAAAATGGCATTGCACACACTCTTGACTTTATCCATGTACACTGCCAAAGTCCTAGCTTGCTTGCCGCGTTTTTAAGAATTGCGCATACACGGTATCATCCATGTACACGTCCACCTATTTTCACTTAAAAAAAATATCTCAGAATTGCACAAAAATGGCATTGCGCACACTCTTGACTTTATCCATGTACACTGCTAAAGTCCTAGCTAGTAAACTTTATCGCCTTACCAAAATGTTGCCAAACTACCTCTTACGATATTCCGAAGATTTTTATTTAATTATAAAATTTAAACAGATAGTAAAAAGTCTACCACATCCCTTTTCAAAATCTATATTGAAGTTTTTTTCAGTATGGCAAAGACTACATAAAACTGTCATTCAGTTTGAAATTAATTCATTTACCCACTTAACCTAATAGGTTATCTATAAAATAAAGGCATTAAGATAATATCATATTTACCTAGCATTATCAATACCAAAACTTATCTCTTTGCTTTACATTGGGCATTCCAGGAACCCTAGAAGCTGCAATGAATTCTTTACGAAATATGCTATTTCTCTTTTTTTGTTAAGAAAAGGTGAAAATGGCTTCTTTTCTCTTTTCAACATCTGCTTTGGACAAATTAATTCAAGTGACTTACATTATGGCATTTTTTTGGTAACTCTTATTCTGAAGAAAAAGAAAATACATAAACAGAGAATATTTGCACCTTGAAAAACTGTATATGTTAGGAACAGCAAATCACTGTTCCTAACATGAACAGTTTTTTATTGAAACCAATATTAATCTAAAGTTCATTGTCCCCAATTATAAATTAAATAATTTGAAAAAAATTAGAATACTACTACTACTACTAAGAAAATGATATACCAACTATACATGAGGATACTTACAAAGGAATAAAAAAGTACAGTTCAAAATTAAACATGCCGTTTATGCTATATAACAGGGGCGGTCAAACTTAATGTTAATAACAGCCAAATGTCTCAATTCAGGGAATTATATTTTTCAAAAGCTCCAAATCCACGTCTATATTATTTTAAAATAAATTATTAACCTTCTTTTGAACACTTACCATTTTTGTTTACCATTTTTTCTTATTATTACTTCATACATTTACTTTATATAAGAGTCGAACGTGACTCGCAAGCCATGATGTAGCCACCCCTGCTATATAACATGTTGAACTATGGATTTTTTAGCAACCTTTAATATTCTTGAATACTGAGGTCTATCATTGTTACATAAGGAATGCCTCAATTTAAATAAACAACTTCTAAAACTTGTTCTCTCTCCTTTTTCAATAACTATAACAACACCATAGGTTTTTTCCATTCTTATATTTAACTTAAAAGAAATTTAAATTGAAAAATTACAGCTTTTTCAAAATATAGATAATATTTCTCCTTTTTACAAACATTATTAATTACTTACAAGGCGGCGCAGGACTATTGGACCCATTAGTGTATGCTGATGGAATTGATTCAAAACTCTGGTGCCCAAGATCTTGTTGATCTTCTGTGCCTTCAGTCTCAGCTTCGCTCTCATCTTACGAATACAAGAATAACGATATTTAACTAGATAATAAAGATTTTCGATAAAACTTAAAACACGACAGTTAAAAGCATTCCCATAATATCTGAGAAGGGAAGAAAAAGAATTTACCTTGAGCATCTTCATCAGCAAGTGGTATATTATTAAGCTCCTCTTGTAAACGTATCATATTTTCTGCCATGTTGAAACGCCAAAAAATCACTAATACAAAAACTACCTAATGGGAAACTGAAAGGAAATAAATAAATAAATAAAGGGCTCGAACTTTCTCCTCTAAACATTCACAATCAAAGTAGAGAGTTGTATTAAAACCTAAAAACAATAAAGCATTTAAAATTATGCATAAATCGTGATAAAGAAATATAGAAAACAATCTATTACGGCCATTTAAAGGTACTAAAATTACAAAACCATATAACACGTTACGAATAACAATTAAACGAAATGCCTAATATATTCGAAATGAATTGTTACCAAGAAACGAAAAATCTTGCACAATTTTTAAACTATGCGAATTTCGTATTTTTACAAATATATATTTGACAATTACGAACCTATTACTTTCGAGTTAAAATACATTAGGTGAGTTTAGATGTTCTGGGACAACTTCAAGCCGATCGGTTTCGGTATCGGCAACATTATGCCGCGATTCGCAATATGTCCGGATCAACAAAAATGTTACCCTAAACGTAAAAAGTCACGTAAAAATACATAACGTAACGGCACTCCACGTAAAAATACATCAAGTGAAATTCTCAGAAGAGAAAATTTTAAAATATGAAAGAGAGGAGAACATTTTTTCCTAGAACGCCTAGTTCCTACTCCTAAAGGATTGGAATATGATATTAAAGTCATGGTAGAGATAAAAATAAATCTACAAAATACAAACGAATTTCAAACAGCTATTTACTAGGTAAAAATAACTGTTTGTAATATATACAAAACAGGAGTGCATGTGTAGAGTTTACGTTGGAAAATTTAAAACTCTCGCGCAAATTTTGACTGCGTACGTAGAAGTGTGCACAAGTAATGATGCACTTTCTAGAGTTTGTTGAGATCATTTTTGGTAAGAGTAGTCTAAACCGACGAAGTATAGGTAAGGACTGGAGGTACAATTGAGATAAAAATGAGACGTTTCTTTCTCGAGTCTAATTTGGAATAATTGGACATAAGTATAAGCATTTTGGAAGCTTTAAAATATAAGCTAAAGGTTATATTTAGCTTTAAAATATAAACTAAAGGTTATACAATTTTATGTAAAGACACGTAATAATTTACTTTAATTTCTTTGAAATTAGCATATTCGTTTGCAATAAATAACTAAAATTTTTTGCAAGTTAGAGCCTTAACTTGAACACACAGTATTCCCTCCCTCGAAATATCAATTAATTGTTCTTTTTCATTTAGGGGTACATTAAAATTGAAAATACCAAAGAAAAATGTGTCACGGATCCAACTTAATTCCTTATTTGGAAATTTTTCAAAATGTTTTCTGTCAATTTTATCATATGTTCCTTTAAACCAGAAATCTGTATTATTTTCTTTAGTAAATTCTGAAAAACATGTTCTGTTGTTTTTGTTCAATTCTCCTTGCCAAAGTATTAGCTTAGTTTTAAAAGTTTCAATATTAAATTAATTAATAATTGCTGAAGGAAGAATAAGAGATTCTAAAATTGCATGAGGTTTTAAATTTTTCGCAATTAAACATGCGCAGATATTTATTTTGCACTTTCTAGAGTTTGGTGAGATGATTTTTGGTAAGAATAGTCCAAGCCGGCGAAGCATACGTAAGGACTGGAGGTACAATTGAGATATAAATGAGACGTTTCTTTCTCAAGCCTAATTTGGAATAATTAGAAAAAGGTAGTTAATGACTTTTATTGTTTTATTCTTAGCATTTTCGATGTGATCTTTCCAATTAAGTTTGCTATTGAAAATGATAGCAAGATATTTGGCTTTGCTAACGTTTGGAATAATTTCATCAAAAAGATTCAGGTTTTAATTAGAAAAAAATATCCATGTGATTTTTACGAATAATTAACAGTTGAGATTTATGGGCATTGATGAATAATTTCTATTTTGTGCTGTGCGCCAATCATCGATTTTTGGTTTTAATTCTTGGAGCTTCTGAATCTCATGTTTTGAGTTTTCTGATTTGACTTGCAAGGCGGTATCATCAGCATAACAGCTCATAAAATAATTTAAATAATTTATTGTTTGGGGAAAGTTCATCACGTAGAAGAGGAAAGGATTAGTTCCAGTCGAATTTCGGTATAAATAGCCCTATTAATTCCGAGCAGCAAAAATAAATAAAATGCTTAAAAATATTAACAGAAAAATAATTTGCTCATAATGGGATTCCATAAATATTCTTAAAATTCTGTAGCGTAAAATATCATCTCGATAATTAGTCGTAATTAGAATGACCAACCTCCATGATCAAATCACATTTTATTATTCTCAGCTTGATGTTAATGGAAGTTACCTAGTTAGCATATAACGAAGAGTTTCTAAGCAGCTTCTTATTTTTCTAATCCTTTTCTTCTTCACTCTATATAAAATCAAAGGATGATTTCAACTCTCAATTCCGTTTCGCTGATATTAAAAAGTAACTCTGCATTTTAAGTCTATTTCTTAACCTCTAGGTAGTCGAGTGGTTACAAAGTGGAATTAACTTACCGTAGTCGAATGGTTACCATCGTCCCATCGGTAGCCGAGTGGTTACAAAGCTGAATATTGGCAGTTCGTTTCAGGTTCGAATTCAGGTGAATGGACTGGGTGCATAAGTAATTATCGTGGTTTTCCCCTCATATGCGAGGAGAATTAGAAGCCAGTTAGTTACCCTACAACAGTGATTCTCAACCTTTTTTGGTCGATGCCCCCTTTTGCCATTGCTAGATGATCCTTTCTTCCCTTCCTCTCCAGAGTTAAAAAAATCTGATGTGTACATCGCATGACTTCCTTGTACGGAATATTAAAATTATACGCATTGTTTCTTGCATTTCGTTTTAACTTATTGGATTGAATTAAATTTATTTCGTCGATAGCGCTTAAACCACAATAAAATAAATGCACTCTTTAAAATTCACTCTATTTGTTTACCATAGCGAGAGTCTGGCGCTAGGTTCACTTAACAGCGTTACATTTCATTCATTTTTTAACTCAGAATGCACAACATTTATATCATCTGAAGAATTATCTAATCGTTGCCACATGTTCTATTCAAATAGTATAATAAATCTAAAACAATGTATAAAAGAAATTAAGCAAACAACAACAACAACAAAAAGAAAAACGTTTTTCACAGACGATTCAGTATTTCTCATTCAATTAATTCAGTTCTCACTTCGCAACAAGGCAAAAATACATAAAAACTCGAAACATGTATTGTCTGTCTACGGTAAGAACAGCTCCCGCCACGGTGTCTGGCGAGTGGCGGTCGCTATAGCAACAGGGCTAGTATATTTCAAATAGAGACGAACCAAGAGTTGCTTTATTGTTATTTTGTTTTTGGAGGCTGTTGGCTTAAGGAAAGTTTATCCAAAGAATCTCTAAGGAGAAGTAAAGGTTTCTCGAGGCAAATGTGGCTCCGTCAGACTGAAGAGACACTGTGTATGTCCCTGAAGCTTATTTTAAAGGGGCAATCCATCCACCCTCCGTACCTTTCTGCGCATGTGCGAAATAGCAGGCAAGAAACCGGCATGTCGCCAGCCATATTAGCAATCTTTTACCGCGTTGTTCGAAGAGGTTCATTGAAACTTTTTTTCGGTTCTTTTCTCTAGTTATTTATCATTCGTCTTCTCGGCTTCATTCCAGCTGCACGCATCTTTTCTTAAGCCTTATATTATTACTATTAGCTCTTTTTATTCTCGTTGTTATATCTTTTGTGCTTTTGTGCATTTGCTCAAATTCGCTTCTATTTAGCTTGATTTTCGTAGTGCTTTGTTAATCGCCAAATTTTTTTAAAATGCCCTTCCATTTTAAGAAAGGTCAACCTTTAAAGTTCTCAGGTCACGTCAAATTCGTTTATAAGTGTCGCAGAATTTTGCGCTTCTGAAGCTTCAGTGAACTCTTTAGTAGTTCCTCTTCCTTAAGTTTGTCCTACTGAATATCAGAGTATACAATTAAAAAAATTAAGCACAAAGTATCAACAATGGGTGAAAATAAACTTCTGAATACACTTGGAAAAGAAATGTAAAAGCCCTGCTAATCATAAGTGTGAAATTGACGATTTTGACAAATGCGTTCTACGGCAGACAATACAAGACTTTTACATCAAAGAAAAGAAAGTGCCATCTGTGCGGAAATTACTGCCTGTCTTGAGGCAAAAAATAGACTTCCCGTGGCAAAAAGACTCTTTGTGCAAAGTTTTGTGTTTAATGAATTTTCGTTGGAATGCGTAGAAAAAAAAAAATCTTATCGAAAGACCTCACATTGTATTTTGGAGGAACAATTATTTACGCGAAATGAGAAAACTCAGAGCAAGTGAACGCCACATCGTTTACATCGATGAAACATGGATTGACAGCAATTTAACTTTTAAGAAATGTTGGCAAGATGATACGGTTTTGGGCGCACAGCCAGTTTCCCTTAGCAAGCCCTCCATGAAGGCATCCCTCCTCTTAGTCATTTAACCCTGGAGGCTTTCCGTAATCATATAAACCAACCCAAATCACTGGTAATTAAGGGAAAAGCAGTTTTGATTTTAATTCACCTTCGCTTCCTTCCGCCATTAAATTAAACAGCTTTTGGTTTAGTTTAAAGGTATGAGAAAAGAAGAAGAAATGGTTGCAAAAATGCAAAAAAGTATTTATTGAGAGCATGGGTATGTAAAAAAAACGCTTTTACTTTCAAGATGATTCTATATACATTTAATGATGAAATTTTTAGTCATTATTAAAGCACAAGCAATAAATTAACAGAAAATTTTGAAATAAAACATAGCAGAACGTCATTTAAAGACTGAAGAAATTGCTTTGAATGTTCACGGTATAGATCAGAGCTAGAGGGGAGGAGAGAACTATAAAAATTAAATTTATTTATTTTATGAAGTGCGTCTATACTATATAAAGAGAATGGGGCAATCAAGTAGATTTCTAAGATGTCATCTATGATTTTGCAAGCAAACAAATAAACAAAAAAGAAGCAAAATAATAGCATGATTTTTTTTAAATGTCGAAATTAAAATTTTTCTTCAAAAATAAACACGGATTTTTAAATTTATTTCCCTACAAGTTTATTTTTACTCATTGTACATCTAGAGGGATGGCAAATTCAGCGACTTGTACCTCACACGGCAATATCAAAGACCGTTCTTGACTGCAAAAGCTTTATCTACGCCATCGAATTTCATTTTCGGAAATTGGATGTCGGGGGTCGACGCAAAGGGTCAACAAGCATTTTACTTGAAACTAAAACAAAATGTGAATATCACCAAATCATCTTTAAATGCGCCAAGGTGGCAAACTCAGAAGTAAGTCTTCAAGACATCCCTACGAAAAATGGGTTAGGGCTCGTTTCTACGGCAACAGACAGCTGCAGACAAACTGGCGAGAGCTGTTCTTACCATAGACAGACAGTATATTAAAAATTATGAAATAAATCTCAAACACTTATTTCCTCGAATAAATTCCAGAATGGATTAAACATGATTTAATTCGCAATAATAAAAGAAGGCGTTATTGGAAAGCTTA